TTACCAAAAACTTGAATAACTGGGGCAAAACTATTTTGATCTAGACTTGTGGCGTCCCAGTAGAAAGGTATTTTAGCACTCTTTTTATTTCTGTGCAAAAAGAAGTCATTCATGTCCTAATTTTCTTTTTTTCAAATACCATCACATCTTAATTTAACTCGGAATGAGGTTCGTTGATCCTACCTTTCTCTTTCATCCTTTGAATGAGTTTATTAGCAAATAACTAAAAAGGGTAAGAAAATATGATACCTCACAGGTCTAAATCGGAAGAGTTTAGGTTAAGTTATTCAAGTTTTTTATACCAATCTTTGAAAAAAGTTAAAAAAAACAGCATCAAAAATCTCATTATTACGATTCCGTTGAAAATTTTTAAAAATTTTTTTTAATATAAAAATAATAATAAAAAATCGTAAATAATAATAAAAAAATCGTTGAGAAACTATTTTTATTCATAAAAAAAATTTTCAAATCGGTCCAGCTTACGTAAATCTTAATATTTTCGGAAATATTTTGGTGGACGTCTTAAAATAAAATAGATTTTATAATTCCAATGGAACCACGGTACCGATTTTTTTTCTTTTGTATGGGGGGTGATGAGGTCTAATGTACATATGTCCATATTCAAAAGATTTCATCTCACTTTCCATGTTGGTACGTAGCTAAATGTGCCGAAAGATATTTGATGTGCTGGTCCTCAAAGTTGGTAAATAAATGCCAAAATGACGACCATAGCCATACGTACATACATACGTACATACAAGTGCGAGTATATATATTATGTACTTTCGAGGGTCTTCCTTTTCAGTTTCGTTTTGTAGTGCTGTTATCTTCATTTCTCTTAACACAGTTTGTGAAGTGAGAAACCCCCCACCTACTCAATATCGAAATGATTTACAAAACTATAAAACAAAAACTTGCAATCCAGGCTTAGTTCAGTTTTCAGAAATTATTGAACGGGAAATGAAGCAAATTGTAAATATTTATATCAGTACATAATTATGTAATTTGTGGACATACATACAAACACAATACTCGTAGTACATACTTACATAAATTTTATTTTAAATATTTATAGCATTTACTAATTCATGTCTTCCTGGCATGCCTAGTGAACGAAGCGGTAGCCAGTCTTTTTAATTGGAACAACAACGACAACATCCCACAGATAAGCGGCGGTATCGGGGATGGTTACATATATCCAATAAGGCCATCCTACAAGCAGCATACTTCCGAATATAGTCATAGTCATGACCCACAAATAGAAACCAGACCCCACCGGGAGGGCTGGCAAAATAATCAGAAGCATTATTCGCAGCTTCATAATCAAGCCCATCGAAATGTTGAGCTTATAAAAATAATACACTTACATAGATCTCCATTGGTGAAACATGATCAGGAAGCACCTACTGAAACAATTAAACTAATACACGTACGAGGCAAAGGGAACTCGAACAACTGTGAGGACTCGAAGTCGCAGGGAGGTCAAGCGGTGGATTTGCCAGCGACGCCGAACTTTGGTTGGGCATGAGACTGCCACATATACTTTCTTAACGTTAAAAATATATATTGGAAAGTAGCGTCAGGAGGGAGGAGGAAATTCTTTAATGAATAATGAAAATTCAGTATGTGTATGTGTGTACATATGTTTAAAAAAAAACATGATTTTCACGCTTTGCTTTGTGGGCGACCAGTGAATGGATATAGACGAAGAGTATTTATGTATGTTTTACTATATTTCTGTGTCCTTTTCGATTTACCGAAACTAATACATCAAGAGGCATACGCATACTAACATCCACGTGCCTTATTTATTCAAAAGTTTGAATTTAGAATTTGTTATCAGATTTCGTTGTTATTGGGTTGAGAATTACAGAGAGTACTGTAATTTTAGAGCCCCGTCAAATGATAGCGGAAATCCTCAGACCAGATTGCGAGTATAAATGACAGTGTTCAATCCAATATGGGCTCCTACATCAAAGATTCATCGCTTTTAAACCATAATTCTAATAAAATTTGCAAGCTGCCCGAGGAATTTATCAATGGTACCAAGTTTTCTGAATAATTTATTGTTCGACCGTATTATCTGGGTTAAAAACATGGAAAAGCCATTTAGCTACATCGAATTATTAAGCTCTTGATATCATTAGAAGTGATGGATCATTGTCCATCTAAAAATTTTACCTACGATACCGTTTTCAACTAGCCCTCCTAATGGCCCTTTTCTTCCTTGAACCAGGTTCGATTAAAGGAAAAATTCAAATTTCACTTGAATAAAAGATTCGTCTACCTTTAGCATTTATTTGGAAATTATAGGGCTACATAATATCTTCTAGATCGCAGGGTCCCTTCTTCTTTTACACCCAATCTTCCAACTATTTGATTTTCAAACTATACGAGTATCGCAAAACTGAATATTACTGAATGTACACATCGTCGCCTTAACCCTGCTTTGATAACCTACGTTTGCAATACGTATGCTTTTTAAACTTTTCATTCTCTCTTTCGCAAAATGAGGATTGAAATCAGTGGTATTTCCAATTTAAATGAATAATATTTCTACATAAAATGCATTTAAGTTATAAATAATAAATAAAATTCAATAGGTTTTTACTGAGTAATCGCCAAACTTTTGTACGGTGCTGGATATGAAAAGAAAACGAGTTAGTTATTTTGTTTGTAAAATTGACACAGTGCAATAAATAAATCATTTCGATTTTATCGACAACCGGATAACCGGATTCCGGATACCATGCAAAAAATAAGAGCCGGATTTGGATATCCTATCGGATATCCGGTAGACTGCTACCCATAATAAATTTAACAATATTGTTATATTCGATTTTGTTGTTTAGGGACATACTTATGGCCAGATTATTTGCTTTTTCGAGCTGAACTGTCCAATACGAAATTAATAGCAAAACATTTTTTTATTGACAAATTAAAACTGTTTCATATATTTTTCCGTAATAAAAACATACAAATATTTGTCACTAATACAGCATAGAGCCGTAAGAATTCAAAATTTCTCCTCTGAAATCCAAGTTATAAAATAATCGTGTTTTATAAAGATAACTTCTCTGTCTGCAACCCGGATTTATCGATTATTTTTGGTAAATAGAGCGGAGAGATCAAAGAAAAACAATAATGAAAGCCGCTAGGAAAAACGCGTGGTTCATGTATTTTTATTTTAAAATGTGATGAAAATCGAACTGATTCATTGTTGCAATATTTTGGGACCCACGTTTCAAAATTGTTTTTTTTTTGTCTGACATCAAAAAGCTAAAAACTCGATTGATGATGAACTAATTCGAAAAAATAAATCAGTTAGCGAGGAGAAATCAGTTGAATCATATGAAAAAGGCCGAATTCTAGTGAAAGCTTTTAAGAGGGTGTCAGACGTGGCAAATTGAGAAATTTCAGAAAGCATGAGCAGTCACACCTTGTATGTAAAGTGTCTTTCGAAAGAGATTTTTTTTTTTCCCGAAAGGCGAATTGCAAAGTACTGTGCAGCACGACCAAGTTGAAATATATTTCCGACTGCGCGTTTTGAGTTGCAAGGTGTGACTGCGCTGATTACCGAAAAGTGACAGCAAGGTCTTCCTGTCTGTTCACACATGGAAATAAAATGCATCTTTCTGAATTTGACAGCGAATCGCGGGTGAAGGTTGTAAATATTGCCAAGTCTGACACGCTCTTTACTCTGCACCTCAAAAATAATTTACTTACTTGTTTTTTTTTTTCATTTGAACATTGAGGTTTGTTTGTATGTAGTATATGAAGATCTCACCCCGCACGCTAGTCACCTCTGAAAATGCCTACTTACATACTACATACATCCACTCATCCTTCGGCAATGGGGCATGGCAGCATTACTTATACATAACACAGGCCTGCGAAATTTAAATTTTTTCCTCCTCCAATAATTATGTTTTTTTTTTTAATATCTAGGTAGGTCGAGATTTTTTTATTGGTGACATATACATTTTAGGATGTCTAGCGATTTGCATGAAAAGCCAAATATTAATTAATTTAGAATTGAATATTTACTTCAAAACCAACTGTGTTAGCTAAACATACACATAAATAGACTAAGAAAATTTGAAAAACTTATGTAATTCCCTATTTATTTAGTCTACATATTTATGGGTATTTTTAACTAACGCTGTTGGTTTTTAAGTAAAAGTTCAATCCCAAAGTAGTTAATTTTTGGCTTTTCATGCAAATCGCTAGAAATCCTAAAATATACCTACACACATGCCATCAATAAAAAAAAATAATTCGACGTGCTAGAAAAAAACCAAAGATGCAGTTTAATTTAACATACTTAAATGATCAAAACAATAGCCTAATTATTGGAGGGGGGAAATAAAATTTAAATTTCGCAGGCCTGTGTAATTACCGTAGAAATGCGAACTAAGGCTAGGAAGAAATCGCAGGCGCTATATCTGACGAAATGCTGAACGGAAGTATTGGAAAGAGAAACATGACGAATAGCTTAGGTTTTTGCTTCAAAACCTCAACCAGGCTTGGCTGAAGCTTTAAACAAAGTTTTAATATAACACTTCTCTTTCTACGTTCGACTCCGTATGTACTTAGACATTATTCACTGGGCTCCGGCCACAATGTGATACGAGGATAGAAAACAGTTTATCTTGGACATTGGGAGTTATTGCCGATCAGACAGACGATTAGCAAATTTTCAAAGTCTTATAGAGTAATAAATTCAAACTAAACTGCTATACCGTATATTTTCATACATAGGATAATGTAAACATTAGTGGTATTCACCGAATTGAGCAAGTGGCCTGGCACTCTGCCAAAAGAGCAGACGAGCTCAAGCAACGACTGTTGACAGCAGTATGTAGTTGTTTGAGCTGATCTGCTCTTGTGTCAGATTGCGTATGTATGTACATACATATGTATGTATGTGGGTTGTACTTTTGTTTCATTTGGATAACCTGCTTTCCAGTTTTGCTACGATCACGGTGTGTACGCCCGCAAAATAGATGTTAGACTTACAAGCTCAGCGTGTGTTAACCAGTTCCCTTATTGAAATGCGTTAATGAGCAACACGAACGAATGCGCATAATAGCGGTCCCAACCAGCTTGCCCGTGCCACTTATAATTATTGGTAACATTTGCATATTTGGGTCAGCATTTGCCGCAATTGATTGATTGACCTCTTCCATGTCTATGAATTTCGTTCGGCAAATACATACAGCGCAATCGAATATCTACATACATATGCATTTCATAAATGCTGTTGAAAGATGCACGAAAAACACTGCTTATGCAATTTCATCGAATTCCGTCTCGACTAGAGTTCAAATGAATGGAATATAAAACAGATGGTAATCAATGGCATCACAATTAGTTTATCGCAAAGTTGCGGCACTTCAGCTTGGAAAAGTTTTCTGGATCTGTATCTCGGTAGGAAACTTCCAGCATGAAGGTATGTTGCAGGCTGGCGAGACTTGCATCAAAGTCTATAAAAATCACATCACTTTCCCTTATAGGTCCTTATCAGTATCTTAACGATGTTGGTTGCTTCATGCAACGCCGGATTTCTATTTGCCGCAAGTGGATTCTACGGTGGAGTTGAAAAAGACCTTAAAAGTTTTATTGTGGACGATGTGGCCGAAAAAGTGATTATTCCAAAACCGGTTTTGGGTGTTTCTAAGGTAATTAAGACATTCCCCAAAGTATATGCGGATTTTGATGAAATTAGTGGACGCACAGTGGTGGTACCAAAGCCATATTTTGGGGTTTCTAAGGTAATTAAAACATTCCCCAAAGTATATGCGGATTATAGTGATATAAGTGGACGTACAATTTCGCCCGGAGAAGTGCTTGTTTCAAAATCTGTTTTTGGAGTTCCTAAGCTAATTAAGACAATCCCCAAAGTTTACGCAGATCCGTATGTTTATAATGGACGTAGAGCCTTTGGAGACCTTTACGCGAAAGACACAGAGGTGACACCTGAAGTTAAAGAATCAGATACAGAAAGTGATCATGGTGAATATGTTGGCCATGAAAATGACGGTAACGATGTACAGCAAGAGGGTGAAACTATTAAACTTATTCTGATCGAAGACGAAAACAGCCCTCTTGAGGGTGGAGGGCAGGCGCACCAAAATATCAAAACTATTAAAGTGATTCGCGTAGCAGCGGGGCACGGTGGGAATGTCGGCAATAGGGGTCATAGTGGAGAAGGCGGAAATCAAGAAATAAAAACAATTCAGGTGATTAACGAGGAAGGGCGAAGTGTTGATCATGGTGGCATCGGTACGCAAGCTGGTCCTTCCACCCGAGATCATAACAGCCAATATGGCACATTTGGTGGCCATCGAGAAGTCCAAACGATTAAGGTGATTCAGGACTATAACCCTTATGTCGGGACGTACTATAATGGACCAAGTGTCGGCTTTGCTAATGGTGGATTCGCCGGTAGCAATGGCAGCCAAAAAATCAAAATCATCAAAGTTAATTATGCTGGAGACGGGAGCCCTGGACCTATTGTTTACGGAGGTCAAAAGGGTTATGGAAATTTCGACAACAAATATTATCAAAAAAACTTAATTAAACTGATTCACTAGCCGACCAATAGAAATGGAATCGATAAAATATCTTCTGGCTTGCGGCCTTAAATTATAATTTATAATTTTTTTTTTACTTTAAGTACTCGCAAACGAACTGAAGCAATACATAAATATTTAAATTATACTCAAATAGTTATAGTATGTACATATGTAGAGTAAGTAAATAAGAATGAATTTACATAGGTAGTTCATTTAAATAAACTGTATAATTTAATTTGACTTGGCCCCTTTTATGTTCGTAAAATGCCTGCGGTAGGAGGAATGAAGCAAATGCATATCGCACATTTGCGTCAACTATATGAATTTACATATACTCAAGTAGAAAAAAAATGAATACGTATTTTGCTGTTTTTTAATCGGTGTATACCAGGGATTGGCCTTGGTTGATCGTCAACTGTTCATACTCATTCAATACCGCTGCTTTGTAT